GTTGAGCACCAAAGACACTCCACTGGGAGCTTGTCTTCTTGGCAGAACTGGCCTTTGGGTTAAGAAAAGCCCATACCTCAACCACTGACAGAGATACAGAGCGTGCATCAATGGATACAACAGGACTGTCATATCCTGCCAAGACAGGGTAAGATAGTTTTGAAAAGTTCCTTGCCTTTAATAATGGTATGTCAGTTATGTTAGGCCTTAGCCAAAGTTGGTTGACTCAACATTGCAAACGAGACTTTGGGTGATTGCCCAGGTAGTCAGTTGTCTCTGTCAATTGTTGCACATTTTGGATATATCTCGTTTGTTAAGTAATATTTATTCCCTTCTCGGATCTTTGACGGAGTTGAAGATTATATAATTGTAGTTACTCTCTACATTATTTAGACTCCTTGAGATAGAATGTTTAACAAAACTTTTGATTCTCAATATTGTTTGTTATATTTATTATTTGTTATTATTGTATATAGTTGTATTTGGTTTGGTTCTGTCTTATTTAGACAAAAAGGGGAGATGTAGGGATAAGTCCCACCCCTTAGGGGGCGTGTTCGCCTCAGGCTAATATTTGCCTATAAATTTGGCAAACGTGCTCCCAGCCGCTGCTTCTGCTTTCCTGGTCTCCGCGGGAACGGTGGTTCTGTAAGTCTATTTCTCCATTAAAGCTGCATATATTTTTACACTCTGTCTCCATTCGTTTATGCCGTTACAAAAGAATTTTAGCTTATATCACTAAAATGTAAATGTCTTTGTGATGGGGCACAGGTGTCTTCTTGATCACAGATCACTAGGGAAACCAGGAATGTTAACCACACAGGGATCCCTCCTCAATGGAGGATATAAAATACCTGTTTCCTGCCCAGAGAACTGGGAGTGGATATTGTTAATTATGGGGTGACCTTTTTGTTATCTGTGGTGCCAGAACTCATCCACTTTTTGCTATAGAGGCAGACCTCACTCAAATCCCCCAGAATGTCTCTCTCAGACTTTCTCATCTTAGACCTTTATCTTTAGCTAGAGAATCCATCCTCTTGGTCACATATACTTTGTAAAGGAGTTTCTAATTAGTCACACCTAAACTTTATTGTGCATCTGGAATTGGAATGATTGTTGCCTGGAAACTTTTCCCCAAGCTTTACTTTGTTTCAAATATGAGAACAACCTGGATTCCCCAAAGTATGATCGAGATGGATGAAATCAATATGAAGTGGGTTTTCATTCTCATGTCTTTGCAGGTTCACTTCACTGCCTGAACACCTGCAGCATCCCCCTCATTTTTGCATGCATTTGTGTGTTTGTGTGTGTGTGTGTACTCACACATGTGTCTGTAGATGCATGTTTCCATAGTCCCATAAAGCAGTTCTTTCTCCCTCCCCTCCTCTTTTTCTCCTGTATCTCTTTTTATTCCCTCTCCTCTTTTCTTCCTTTTTGTCCATTTCTATCCCCACTTCCTCTTGCCCTCGCTCCTCTCTCTTCCTTTCTCCTTTTCTCTTTCTTCCCACCACCCTTATATAATTTTGCAGACACACATCTTATTGGTGTTTTTTTCTCAAGAGCACTAATACAGACTTTGGTTATTTAGTATCAAATAACATAGACATAAGTTTATATTATACAAATATTGTTTTATAATGATCTATAAGATTAATGTTTGACTACTTTAATGTGTTGAGTCTCCAGTAAAAGAAAAATCTTGAACTTACTTCTGTTAGTTTGGAGTAGGCCTCCCTTAATAAAATGATCACTTATTTCTCCTCAAACCAGAGACGTTAAAGGTATAGTGGCTCCATTTACCTTGGATGCTAAGTATTCCCAGTGTCATGAGCACAATGTCCAGATTATCAGCAAAGTGGAACTGAGAAAATAAAGCATAGAAATATTACTGTTGTGAAACTCGAGCAAAACTGCTAATAGCTCATTGCATGAAACAAACGTTACCTCACTAACTGATTATAAGATTAACTCACTCATAAAACTACGAGCATGCCTTATCTGTATTGTGAAAAGGAAACAATCAAGCAATCTTCGCTCTTAAGGATTCACAACAAGGTTTGAAATAGGGCTGAAAAACAAATCAGCCCAAGCAATACAAGCTATAAGAAAACATGTGTCAGATCCTATGTGGGCATAATTCCAAATCTTCTGTTTGGAATGATTATTTTAAAAGGCTTGATGAAAAGCCAATTCTCAAATTTTCATTCATTAGCATTGGTATATTGCCATCACTAACCATAAACATTCTGCTGATAAAAATGTGAGGAATTATATGTTTGATTTTTTAAAAGTTTCTCAAATTAAATTTGCCCCCAAACAATTCCTGTCTTGTAAACAAGGGTCAATAATGATTTACGGGGGCGTTGGTAGTTTGACGGAATGCTTGAAAGCCAAGCATTGGAATGCTCTGTCTTGTAACAAGTATCCACAATACCAATTTAAAACCAAACCACAACGAGACTTGTGTGGTGGGTTTTCCATCATGCTGAGAGAGGAAGATTCGAGTGTATGCTGAGCTGCATTAGATGGGAAGAGCAGCAGGCAGGCTTAGTGAATACTGTGTGTATGCAGACTGCATGTTTTCTTCACTCTGCAACAGCTCAGCAGTAGTTATGAAGTAACGGTCATAGCATTTTGTCAGCACTACACATGATAAGGTAAATGTCTGTTCCTGTCTTTCACTACCATAGTGAAATCTCTTATTTTTGAGATTAAAAATTCTGAGAATTTCATATATGGATATATTCCATTTCTTCCCCTTTCCTCTCCTATCACTAAGTCCTCTCATATCACTCCAAGTCCACCTTAAATTCATAATATCTTCTATAATTATTATTGTTACACATATACACACCCATCTATACATCCATAAATACACATACTCTCCACACACTACAAAATCCATTAATGTTGTCCACATGTTTATGTGTTTGGGGTGTATTGCCTTGTTGGCAAAGTACTTCACATTCTGATACTTCCTAGGATTTTAACTTTTGAAGTACTCAGAAGTTGTTTCATGTGTGTTGCTGTGAAAGATAATTTTGGTTGTCAACTTGACACACTTGGGAAGAAGAGACCTCAAGTGAAGAATTGCCTTCATCAGAAGGCCATGAAGGCATGCCTGTAGGAGGATTTGCTTGACTGCTAATTAATGTAGGAAGGCCAATTCAACTGTGGGTGCTACCATCCCTAGGCAGGTGAGTCTGTGCTATTAAATAAGTTATCTGAGCATGAGTCTGAGAACAAACCAGTAAGCAACTTTCCTCCCTGGTTTCCATTTCAAGCTTCTGCTTTATTCTCCTGCCTGGCTTCCCTTGATGATGTAAATTGAAATAAACCCTTTCCTCTCCCTGTTGCTTTTGGCCATGACATTTATCACATTGACATAAACCAAACTATAGTAGTGACACTAAGTGAAGATATTGGTGTTTGGGGATAGAATGCAAGATGATATGCATGACAGCTGTCTTAGAGTTATATTGCTGTGAAGAGACACCATGGCCAAGGCAACTCTTTTTTTTTTTTAATTTTTGAGACAGGGTTTCTCCATAGCTTTTGGTTCCTGTCCTGGAACTAGCTCTTGTAGACCAGGCTGGCCTCAAACTCACAGAGATCCACCTGCCTCTGCCTCCTGAGTGCTGGGATTAAAAGCGTGCACCACCACCACCTGGCTCAAGGCAACTCTTATAAAGGAAACCATTTAATTGGGTCTGGCTTACAGTTTCAGAGGTTTAATCTATTATCATCATGACAGGAAGCATAGGCAATGTTCAGTAGACTTCCACACTGGTTGTATTTTGAGCAAATATGAGACCTCAAAACCCACCTCCACAGTGATACACTTCCTCCAACAAAGCCACACTTACTTCAACAAAGCCATGCCTCCTAATGGGTCAAGCATTCAAACACACAAGTCTGTGGAGGGCAATATCTGTTCAAAACACCAATACAGTATTCTTTGAACATAGTTCCAAATATATGTGTTGGTATATTTTCTGTCACAAAATTCATATAATAATTATTTAAAAACTCTTTGTACCAGCTTGACTTCTCTGTGTCCTATAGCTCAAGTGTGTGGAATTCAGCAAAAGGAGGGAAAGCAGGAGCAATGCCAGCATTCTGCAATGTTTGGGGGAGGTTTATGGGACCATAATTGTAGACAGAGGCTGCTTGTTCACTCCCAGCTACCCAGACCCCAAATAATTACACAGAAACTGTCTCAGCCTTCTGGATTATGTAGTAGATGTGGCAAATGCCAATATTGGACCAATGAATGTAGATCAACAAAAGACAGATAAAGTAACCCGATACCACCAGAAAACTCCTTTGAGGGTACCTCTCACAGGCCCCCACATCAAACATGGTCCAGTCATTCCTAGTCACTGTGGAGGACATGTCCACTAGGAAAATTAAAAAAATCCAGTGCCTGCTATAAAAAAACCGTACTGTTCTGGATGCTAAAACAGACATGGAGGATGAATCAAAAATTCCAGTAGAAAATAGGAAACATATATTTTGGCAGACTTCTATAAATGATCAAAGACCAAAGCTAAGTGTGCTTATAAATGACCAAAGACCAAAACTAAGTGTGCTTATAAATGATCAAAGACCAAAGCTAAGTGTGCTTATAAATGACATTGTAATTGAGGAATTACTGGAGACGGGTGTAGATGTCACTATGATTACTCCAAAATTTTGGCATCTGAATTGACCTCTTCAAGAGGCAGATGTTCAATTCCTAGGAATTGGAACCCTATCTTAAGTGAAACAAAGCACAAAATGGGTTGAATGCAAAGGGCCAAAAGTAGAGAGAGGAAGGCTGAGGTCATATGTGGCTAATACAATGAATTCACGGGGCTGTGACCTGCTACAACAATGAAATACCCAGATTAACAATCCTGTAGTCCCAGAAACTCATGTTTCTGTGAAGGATATTATAAGGTACTATAAAAAACATGGTCACCAGCCATTCAGGCAGTACAAGGACACAAAGCAACTAACAAACCATCAGAGGCACCAAAGACCCTACCTTTAAAATGTTTAACTGAAAAAACAGTATGGTGTAACGGCGTAAGCGAATGCAGACAGATTGTCAAAATATAGACAGCTTTAATGGAGGAATAGACTTACAGAACCACTGTTCTCGCGGAGACCAGGAAAGCAGAAGAGAGCGCTGGGAGCACGCTCACCAATTTTATAGGAGAACTTTAGCCTGAGGCGAAAAAACCCCCTAAGGGGTGAGACTTATCCCAACATCTCCCCCTTTTGTCTAAATAAGACAGAACTAAACCAAATACAACTATATACAAAAATAACAAATAAATATAACAAACAATATTGAGAATCAAAAGTTTTGCTAAACATTCTATCTCAAGGAGTCTAAATAATGTAGAGAGTAACTACAATTATATAATCTTCAACTCCATCAAAGATCCGAGAAGGCA